AGGAATGCTCCAATTATAGGGGCATAACGTTACTAAGCCTCCCAGGTAAAGTCTACGCAAAGGTGTTAGAGAGGAGGTGCCGTGAAATAGTTGACGTCAAGATTGAAGAAGAGCAGCGTGCCTTCCGGCCCGGTCGAAGCACCTCTGACCATATATTTGCCCTGCGCAAGACAGTTGAGAAATCGTCGGAGTTCGCCAATCCGGTGAACATCTGCTTTGATGACCTGAAAAAGCCCATGACCGGATACCGCGCAACAGTCTATGGTCATGCCTGAGAGCATACACGATCGATGGCCAGCTGTTACGAGCCATCCAATCAATGTATTCTGATAGCAAGTGCTGCGTCAGAATAAATGGCGTTAAGTGGAAGTTTTTCAACGTTGGCACTGGTCTCCGCTAAGGCTGTATCCTGACCCATCTCCTGTTTGTGTTGTACATGGATAGAATAGTCAGGAGCAGCCAAGACGACGAATGTATAGTGTAGGAGAAGTGAAGACGAGAAGGCTGCTGTTTGTTGACGACTATTTTATTAGCATCTTCTGAAACTGATCTTCAGTGCTCCCTAGAAAGTTCGCAGCTCAATGCAACGTGGCCGGCATACGTGCGAACCCATCTAAAAAGAAAAGCCTAGTGATTCCTCGTTCTCCTGCTAGTTGCTCTCTTCAGATTAACGGAGAGGCAGTGGAGCAGGTGTAGAAGTTCAAGTACCTCGGAATTGTATTTACTAGTGATAAAAAATTTAAGGAAGAGATCGACCGGCGAACTGAAGTAGAAAGTGGCGCTCTGCGTGAAGCCCGATCCATTGTGACTAAAGCAAAGCTCAGTCTGCAAACTAAGCTCTCAATATTCAAGTCGATCTTTATCCGCATACTTACCTACGGTCATCAATCGTGGACCATCACTGAAAACTTCGAACCCGGGTTCAAGCTGCTGAAATGGGCTTTCTTAGACGAGTCGCTGACCTTACGCGTCTCGACAAGGTCCGGAATACAGATAACAGCAGCTTTGGTGTACAGCCTTTGCTTCTTCAGACTGACAAGCCACAGCTGCAATGGTTTGGGCATGTGTTGCGGATGCCTGTTTCTTGTCCAGTCGACCGGCAGAAGGCCCGCGGGACAGCCAACATTAACCTAGTGCAAATATATGGAAGGAGTCTGCTCCAGACTCTGGTTGTCTTCTGCTAAAGCTGAGACTCTGGCACAGAATCGGGAACATTGGAAACACTGTCTGACGCTTTTGTCTCCGTGACCCGAAATTAGGAGCGGTCATGAAGAAGAAGAAGAAGAAGGTACCAATTAAATAATCAAGTGACATATTTAATGAGTCTGATGTACTTGCAAAAGCATATAGGACTCTATCTGACTCTATCACCGGTAGCGCAGTGGACATTCCTTTGCCCAATTAAACCTATAGAAGATGCATCCGGTCACTATAGATATTATTCCAATTCTATAGAGCCATCCTGAATAAGTGGCTTCCTAAGCAACAAGAAGCAACAGGTCGATGTTACGATGTTGTGTGACCTGTTAGGGAGAAATTACGGCTCTTGCTGAAAGGAGTGAAACGAATCGCTTAACGAACTTCCGTACATTTTAGAAACTTCCAAAATTAGTGTTATTTAATCTAAAAGCTGATTAAGAAAAAAACTAGTAATATGGGACCAATGTATCCATATCACTGGAATACGTAAAGCCGAAAAATCTACATATGTAGTAACAGCCTAAGAACAATTTAAAATGTTGTCTACAGACAACTGATGGCATGAATCCGTAGTATCTCCTGTCGTGAGGCAGAATAACGGCACTTCAAAAACAGGATTAAAAGTGCCGCTATTCTGGCGGAAAAAAGAGCGTCTTAACCGTAGTAGTTAACGACGCATCAGGTAAACATGTGACGATTTAATAATCGGATCGTCACCGCAAATTAGGGTAGCGTTGCAGCTCAAGTTGGCCTTGTTTAGACTTGACAACGGAAACACAACAACAGCGGTACCATGATGGATGACGACAACTTATACAAAGGTGCTGGAGGATAATCGCACTGCGACACAAACCGCACTCTCAGTGACACGCCGCGTAAAGGAAAGCATCGGAGGTGCGTACGTGTTTACATGTTCATATTGAAGCGCTAGTCATCGCAAGATGTTTTGCAAACCTGATACAGTGCACACTCATGGAGAAGAGGCAATATGCCAGAGAGGAGCGGATAGAACTCGTACATAAGTTCATCCTGGGTCATGGTCACGATCAGGTGACTTCCAACAAGGCCGCTGTCGATTTACGTCTGTCGCCTGTACATGACACCTTGACAAACGCGTGACCGTCACCGCCAAGATCGTCATCTCAGCGGCTCATCCATCGCCCAGGTGACTGACTGAAGGAATAGCTTCGTCCACACCGGTAACAGGGCGGCAGCAGAAATGACCTTTCAACGGCGTACTGTACCCACCGGGCCAACATCAACTGTGCCTATGTGGCAATCGCAGTGACGAGGAAGTGAGAAGAAGCTATTGTATTCGGTATCAGGTGTCAAGTGTCAAGTTAAGTCTAGTCGAGTCGATGTCACCAAAAACTAGCCGTCAACCGGAAACGCCTCAGCAACGTGGCACGTGTAATCGGCGCGGTTCGGCGCGACAGGCCAAAAAAACCGGCCTCGTTCATTAATCACGCCCTTCATTCGATCGTTGCCGCCGATGTCGCCACTGCCTATGAATAAAACACCGAAAATCAACCACTCACCGCAAACCAGCAGCCAACCTTCGGTAGTAACCGACATTGCCCCTGGCCCCAATGTCTCGTCGCCGACGTCCACTCTTCTTACTGCCGCGTGCCGACCGATGGCATCAGAAACGACCTGAAGTTATAACGTGTCATCCTCATCATCCGTGCATGCATGAAATATAAAGCATGCATCATGCTCCTGCCTCGCTCTGTTGCATTACAGAATACCTCTGATTTTCAAGTTCGTGTTCGTTTCGTTGGCCCAGCTTGTAACAGTTTACTGCTTTGCACCATACATTCGAAACAAGTCATTAAAGCCAATCGTCACGCAGACGGTCGTCCCTGTAAATTTATCGAGCGACTCTCTTCCCGGTACTGCTATGAGGTACACATTCAATATAAGTCAAAACAAGGTCGACCACTGCAGTGTTTACACGCAGGCGGTTGTAGATTTACGCGACGCTGGGCGACCCAATTTTTTGGTCGATCGCTGGCCAGTGACTTTGATTAAATGATGTATGACGGGTGACACCGGTTTTTACAGATGCTGCCACTTTCCCATACCTATTGAATATCAGGTGGCTTGCGCAATGAACTGGAAATTCCCATTGTCAGGTTATGAGAATTTCACGTTGGATCTATAGGCCAAGTATTTTAATGTTTTGTTCAGCCTTTCATTTCTTAAGTTTATTTGCTTACGTTTTCTTTGAAAAAATTCTTCATCCATCCTTATCTTTCGAGTGCGTGACCCTGTGCGGGGAGTTGCGAGTGAAAATGGTGCTATATATTTGCAATAAGGAAGTATGCAATAGTAAGAGCGATACAAATGATACCAAAGTGCCCATTCCCGAGTTTGAAAATTCTTCTTATCGGCGTTCCTTGAGCTTATTCGCAAGGCTAATTTTTTTGTGCAGGGAACACTGCGATCGATTCCTCGGGTTACTGGCGCGTATATAATTTGCTAATGCTGGTTATTATCGGAAGGGTGTAAGAAAATCAAATGTTTTGGCAACCGAGTGCTGTTTTTTCCAAGTCTTAGTTTTCGATGAAAAACCTTGTTTCCCGAACCTTCCTATCTATGCAAGTGAAGAAAAAGTAGGCAGCATTCAAATGGCCATGGGTTTCCTGTGATTTTATGGCGGTCCTTTAGTGCGTTTTTGTTCCAAAACTTTTCTATATTGTAGCAAATTCAGAGGTTACTATAGAATGAGTTAGTTTAGTAACTGATGCCTTTGTTTACGCGCAACATGAACCAGATTTTCGTATCGTACTCCATTTCTTACAGCGCAGCGTGCCAACAACAAGGTGATGATCGGTTGATAGCTCTGCGCTTCTCTTAACACGAACATTCATTACTGAGCGTCTTAGGTCAGGCGATACGATTATCAAATCGATCATCGACTTCTGTGTACAAGCTTCCCTGTACCAGGTGTACTGATGCACTTTTTGATGCTCGAAGAAGGCGTTCATAATAGACAATCCGTTGTTTGCGCAAAACCACAACAACTTCATGCCGTTATTATTGAGGTCGCTAGGGCGGTTTTTCCCAATCACGCCTTTCTATTAATCTTTCACTTCTTCATGGACATTAAAATCGCCCGTGAGTATGAGGGACTCCGTATTCCGCGCTTACTACCCTGCACACTGCACTTCCTCAAGGGAGGAATCATATTCTCTCCGTAAATTGACCGCATAGACCTGTAACGAGGTCAGCGCATTAGTCTGTTGTAGCTTCAGTTAGAGGATTGCCACTGTTCTGCTAACGGGCTTGCATTCAATGATTTTCTCAGTCAGGTTGGGTTCTACCAGAAAATCAACACCGGCCCAAGCGCGCGTCGCGTTTTGGCGCCTGAGTAGGATAGCTTCCTCCTAGAGAGATTACGGGTTCAAGAGCCTTGGCGCTTTGTGGTCGAGAGGGTAACTATATTGAGTTAAGGATATATCCAATTTCGGACTATTAGCTTCCACTGTCGATGTCATGCCCGTGGACGCACTATAATGGCATCGCGCTGTCTGCCTCTTCTGTTAAGGACGGGTAACGACTCCGTTGCTGACTTGAATCTTCGTCGTCGTTTTTTGATCTCCGGGGCAGTCACTGTTGTGCTGATACGCCCCAGACTGTCATAAGATGATGATCCGGTTGTGATTTCTGCATTTTCGCCGCCTGCATCGGTCCATCAACGGGCTGCGCGGTCTTGGA